TATCCTTAAGTACTTGAGAAGGACTAATGACTCATTCTTGATATATGGAGGTCAGGAAGAACTCGTTGTAATTGGATACATCAATGCTAGCTTCAGACAGATAAGGATGACTTTAGATTGCAATTTGGTTATGTGTTTTACTTAAATGGTGACACTGTGATCTGGAAAAGTTCAAAGCAAGATACAATTGCAGATTCTACAACTGAGGCCAAGTACATTGTTGCCTCAAATGCAGCAAAGGAACCTGTTTGTATTAAGAAGTTCATTAGTGAACTTGGAATAGTCCCTAACATCGTGGATCCCATTGATCTCTATTGTGATAACAATGACGCTATCACACAAGCTTAAGAACTTAGATCTCACCAACGACCCAAACACATACTTAGGTGATATCACCTCATTCAAGAGATAATAGATAGAGGAGATGTGAAGATATGCATAGTACCTATACTTAACAATGTTGCTGACTCACTAACAAAGTCTCTTGCACAACAGGAGCATGATGGTCATACTAGATCTATGTGTATTAGGGGTATGCTTGATTGGCTCTAGTGCTAGTGGGAGATTATTGGTGTAAGCCCTAGAGGCCAATAATTTTTGTACTTGTATCAAATTATTTATTAATAATAAAAGGCATTTCTTTATTATGTTTGTTTTTCCAAAATAATAAGTCTCTAGAATAGCTAGTCCGTTTAATGAAATATTAAGCGAATTTCCTTTTTTGGTTTGGAAGCCTTCTAGATGTAGGTGACGTTGCACCAAACTGGGTTACTATCTCTCTTGTGTTCTTTATTTACTTTTAGTTTAAATCATAGTTGTTGTCTAACTGTTATCATTAAGTTGTACACAATTGTTCAAGACATCTGGTCCAACATCCGTCCCCTTATAACAAAATTTTAATTTGTATCAAAGCAGACACCATGTTCTTATTGGGTGAGCTCCAGGGAAAGAATTTTTCGTGTTTTAGGAAACTACGGAAGTGAACTTCTGTATATTTTCTGAATTTGATTTTCTAGAAATACAGAAGTGCACTTCTGTATTATCTCTGCATTGTTTGATTTGTTTCTGCTTTGTATGGTTTAATTACAGGTAACTTAGTCATCAACCAAGAAAGATTGAGGCACATTAGAGTGTCCCAACATGCATCTGTTCGTAGGGGGAAAGTTTGACCCTCACGACCACTGATTGGTGCTAGTTCATTTTGTGGGGAAGTGTCCACTTCTGGGGTTCAAGTGTTTCCGGCTTCGTCTTCCTAAAGGAAGGTGTCACTTGCTACTTCCTCAAAAGCCCCACTAGTCCAGGTTGATGCAGATGTTGCCGATGTTGTTATTCTTGATGTCATTCCTGAAGAATTTAGAGGAGGCCCTTATGAAACTTCACTACTGCCTATGTATGCAAACCATATAACTAGGCATGTCTGGGCGGAGAGCTAAAATTTATCTGTATTTATTCTTTAAAACACACGTTTTATAATATTTGAACTTGCTGACAATGATGTTTTTTTGCAGTATCGTGGTGCTTTAAAATGCACCAACCATAGTAAAAAGATTGCAAGCATGTAGCAACCTAAGGAGCAACGGTTCATGATGCCATGCAACTATCTGAGCTGTGAGATTTATGCATGAACAATCATACTATATTGACCATTGTATGTTGTTAGCTTTCGTTGAGAGAAGACACTTAGTGACGTTAGTTTTTTTATCTTCTGCATGGTGAGATGTCCATCACACTAGATGATGTGTCATTCTTGCTACATCTTCTGATTATGGAAAGTTTATTAGACCATTACAGATTAACCAAATCTAAAGCACCAGAGATGATGGTAACCTATTTGGGAGTTGGCCCAAAGGATGACCTAAAGGAGCTGGAAGACACTCAAGGGTGTCATGTTGTATTTTCATTTTTAGAGAACCTGTATATATATCATCTGGTCGAGGAAGTGGAGGGAGATGGTGATGATGCATCGATTATGCGTTATAGAGCATGTGCATTGAGGTAATGCCTCATGTATCTGATTAGCACTTCCATATTCGCAGACAAAAGTGATTATTATGTCGATGTGGTTTACCTTAGATATTTCATTGACTTTGAATGAATTCATGAGTACAACTGGGGCCGCTTGTTTAGTTTACTTATACTCGAAGTTAGCTGAAGGTTTGTCTTTAAAATATCGTACAGATAACAAGTTTAACGCTGGTTACTGCAATAAATTTGCACATTTACTATTAATGTACCATTTTCATGTCTGGATCCTCCAGCACTTTCCACGTATCTCTGCCTAGTCATATGTTGATGACTACTATAAGAATCAACCACGTGCATGCGCATTCTTCCTGCACAGAGGGAATCAAGGGACCGATCCCTTCTGAGTGTTTATTGACCGCACTACAACAAATGATATACAAAACACACTGTATCACGATCATTGTCAAACATGACCCTTGGATGACATAGCCTTCTGCTCTAGATGTTGGCTTGTGGGTCACACCAGATGTATCCTCATCTTTTTGAGTGATTCATGCGTTAGTTCGGGTATTTACATGTTGTTCCACGAGATCCCTCTATGTCAGTTCCACCCATTATGGTCAGCGAAGATGTAGATGTGATGTATGATTATTTTTATAAACATCTGGTATCATATGAAGCACAAAGTGTGGCAACTCATCACCATTGGAGTAATGCATTTGGCTACATTCAATGGTATTTTAGAATGTCACATCCTTACATGACACCAAGTGCTCCTAGGTCATTTCATCAGGAGATATTATAAGAGGAACGAGATAGGGCAGATCGTGTCATTCATGTGTTATCTGCATGTCGTCATATAAAGGTCATTGCGCGAGCGGACATAAAAAGTGTAGACTTTTCGAAAGGCACTTCTGCGAGGACCACTATAGGTGTCATTCTATCTGAGACACATATGACATTCCAATACATGAGGCAAAGGAACAAGGGGTCATAAATAGCCATTAGGATAGTATTTGTATTATGGATTATGAATAGTGTTATGGTTTATAATTTATCACTTTGATATTATTATGGATATTTGATTGATTCCAATATATGATATTTTTATTTTATTACATCAGTATATGGTTTAATTTATAACAAATTTATTATGATAATATACTTATTATAAATGGTTTATTACATCCATGTATTTCTTAAAAGAAATGTCAAATTTTACTATTTAAAGGGTGATTACTAATACTTTCAATAACTTATTATAGAAAATGTCTCTCCAGACAGTGTGACTCATAAAGAAATGTGGTGTATATAACATGCATAAGAAATTATTCTTCTAAAATTTTGATAAACAATTGAGTTTTTATAGAGTAGCTCTTCACCACTAAGGGGGAACCACCTTATGTTATTTCACATGAGAGTAATAAGGGTACATTGTATCACTAAAAAAAGAAATAGGTTACATTTCTTTCACATCTATTATGTTGATTAGAATCAAATCATTTCTCTTGAGCTAAAAATATATATTTTAATATAATTAAGTTCCATTTTTTAAAACTTCTCTAAAACTCAAAACAAACCTGTAGAAAATTAAAGTGATATAGGTTTGAAAATTTAAATGAAATGTGTCTGCCCCTTCCACTTATCTTGTGTTATTCCCCATGTTGAAGGGTGTTCACAAAAATCACAAACAATTGTCTTTTGTATTCTGGTTTTATAAAAACTCCTCTCTCAACCAATATCCAAATAGTCAATATATTTGAAATAACCTTTGTTATTTGGCTGTTGGTGTTACTCTTGCAATGACAGGAGGTGATGATGCAATTGCCATGGTTATCAAAAGAGAAATGGGCAAGGCAAACATATCAGAGGTGGTATGAATGAAACATAGCAAGGAGAATAGCAAAGGAGAAGAGTCGAAGCAGAACAGAGAATAAAAAGAAATCGAAAGCGCAGAGGCAAACAACGAAGAGGCAGGGGAGAACTATGAAGAAATAGATGAAAACGACGAAAAATGCAGAAGACATAGTGGAAAACATCACAGGAGAAAAAACTAATGTGCCTTTAAAAATTTTAAAGATTGTTTCCTTTGCCTTCTGGTTTATGTAATATTGTACATTCCAAAACCAGCAAATACAAATGGCAGCAAGAATCTCTTCTTATTGTTTTTTACCAAAAACAGAACAAGTATCATATGCTTGTTTGATTTGAATGATGCCTTTGACCCAAAAAAAAAAGTTTGACAAATACTTAAAGCAATTAGAATATATTCTAAATAAATTAAATGTAATCACAAATGTTCGTGTCCGTTTCAGACACCAACACATTTTTTTCCCGAGGTGTCGATGCTGCAGAGGTAAGAACCAATGGTTTCTAATCTATGTAAACAATTTAGTTAAACAAGAATGAACTTAGTTCTAGGTTTCACCTATGACTTTGAAAACATTGAGCATAATGCAAATCATCATAAACAGTTAAGTTTGAATATGCAGCCTAAAATATTCGCATTAAAAAAATTGATCAAAATATATTGGTAACTTATTCATGGGACCGATAAGGGTATCCCGTCAATGTATCACACTAGTAAATCAACAAAATCCTCGGATACAATATGCTAAAATCAAACCAAAACGGTTGAAGGAACAAACAATTTCTGAGTAGAACGAACAACTTTGCAGGACATTACATGCAAAAAGCTACCCGAAAAGAAAAGAAAAGTTTTTCATGTTTTTTATATTGCTTCCTCATGCATGATACACTTCCTCTATATCATCCCGCAATAAGATTTTACATCTCACTCAAATCCCAAAAACCCGAAACCTAAATAATAATAATAACTCAAAAAACTCAAGGCGTAACATTCCCTTGTAACCTCTATCTCTATATCTGAATCCTCAAAACAGGCACTTCAGTTAGCTCTAGATAAACCAAACATCTTATGTCTTAAAAACCGATATATAGTAACAACAGTGGTGTGAGAAAATCGCAATTCACCTGCTTCACTGGATTATCTTCGCCTACAAGTCCGTGTCATCCTATGTAGTAATTCCTAAAAACAAAGACAAACGTTCATCAGCGTTGACAAAATTGTACCAATTATACGTTTTCTCGAGCTTTTTTTTAGGTTTGTAGTAATAGTTATACTGATTGAGTGAGAAGATGAGATAAGTATGAGTAACAAATGTCGGTCTTACCCCTATTTGGCTGCCTTTTATTAACAGTATAACCACCAACATAACCAGGAGAAGTTTTGACAGAAACATCTGAAGCTGCACCACCGAGTCCGTAACCAAAGGGACCAGATCCATCTCGTTCAGAATTTGCAGACCGCCAAGTGGAGTCCCCATAGACTGAACTATTGCTGTAAAAATCACTGAAAGAACCATCAACACCACCACCACCATTTGATGTAGAGTATGAAGATGTTGGTGCAAGAGAGGAACCGCTGCTTCTTCCATACCCTTCAGTCCCCAATCCGTAACCGTTGTTGCCACCTCCGTATCCGAGGTTGCCACTACCCGGTGACACATTGTTCCCTCCCCCGTGTCCAGAAATCGACGAGGAACTCCAGTTGACTCCAGTATTTCCAAATGCATTTCCTCCAACATTTCCACTTCCCGATCCAATGTATGCATTGGAATTCGCAGAATTTGTCCCATAGTTAAGGCTTCCATTCCCCCACAAATTCCGAGTCACGGAACTGAAGAAAGAATTGTTTCCTCCGTTACCACTTTCATATCCAACAGGATTGCCAAACCTATTGGAGCTGCCGATAAAGTACGGATTCAAGCCCCGTCCATAGCTAAGATTGCCATTGAAATTTGCATTCCCTCTAAATCCAGGACTCAAACCCGGCTCAAAATTCATACCCATTCCATAACCAGATCCAAACGGTGCAAATGCATTTCTAGCACTAGCAACCGGACTGAACCTACCGTCCATCTGAAGTCCATAGCCTCCAACAGCACTCGGACTATACCCCTGATTGAAGCCATTCAAGAAACTATTAACCCTACTCAGACCATAGTTGTATCCACCGAGAGGTGAGCGGGTAGGTCCTGGCGATAACTCCTTAGGAACTGCTCGCTTGACCTCAACCATTTTACCATTCAATTCATGAAACGTCTTAAGTAAGACCTGGTCAACAGCTTCTTCGGAATCATACGTGATAAATCCAAATCCTCTCGGCCTCTGAGTGTTGTGATCGTACATTACTACAACATCTGTTATAGTCCCAAACTGATCAAAGTACTTTTTGAAATCACTCTCTGTCACTGTAGAAGCTAAACCTCCAACAAATATCTTTCTCGTGCGACCTTGACCGGGAGAACCGTGGATGCTGCCACTCGTTCTACTCAATACGTTTTGATCATCTCTAGGAACAGCTTTCTTCGCCTCAACCTAGCCAAAGATGCAAGAGTATCGACTATTAATCATAGGGAAAAAAAATCAAAGAAATACAAACATTTACATCGGATGCTTAGAAGAGAAAATAATAATGAAAAATAAAAGGAGATAACATTAGAGAATAAAGTATATGGAAAAAATTAATTCTCTTGGTCCGTCTTAAAATGTAGCTAATCAAATCATAAAACAAATCGCCCAAATCAAAGTACAATTAAATATCATAAACAACTAAATGTTTCGGCCCAAGTGGTTAATGAGTTTCTTTTAAAGACGAATCGTTCGGAGAACCCAAGTTCGAATCCTAGCTGGAACAATTCAATTCAGTATCATAAACAAGGTTTTAAATAACGGTCCGTTACCACAAAAACGGCTGCGGCAAAAGGAGATAAGATTCGAGAACAACGTATATAGGAAAAAAGTACTTCCTTTGTTCAATTTTACATGTAGCTAATAAAATCATACACAAAAACAAATCGGCCAAATCAAAGTAAACCTCAAAATCATAAACAGCTTTATGATTGGGCCCAAGTGGTTAATGAGTTTCTCTTAAAGAAGAATCGTTCGGACAAACCCAAGTTCGAAGGTTTTAGAAAACGATCCGTTACCGTGAAAACGGCTACGACAAAAGGAGATAACATTAGAGAACAACGGAAAAAAAATTACTCCCTTTGGTCAATTTTAAATGCAGCTAATAAAATCATAAACAAGAAAAAATCGGTCAAATCAAAGTACAACACAAAATCATAAACAGCTTTATGATTAGGCCCAAGTGATTAATGAGTTTCTGTTAAGACGAATCGCTCAAAAGAACCCAAGTTCGAACCCTCCCTGGAACAAAAGGAGATAACATTGGAGAACAACAGCTTTATGATTAGGCCCAAGTGATTAATGAGTTTCTGTTAAGACGAATCGCTCAAAAGAACCCAAGTTCGAACCCTCCCTGGAACAAAAGGAGATAACATTGGAGAACAACGTATATGGGAAAAAATTACTCCCTTTGGTCAATTTTAAATGTAGCTAATAAAATCATAAACAAAATCATATCGGCCAAATCAAAGTACAACTCAAAATCATAAACAGCTCTATGATTGGGCCCAAGTGGTTAATGAGTTTCTGTTAAGACGAATCGTTCGGGAGAACCCAAGTTCGAATGCTAGCCGGAACAATTCGATTCAATATCATAAACAAGGTTTTAAAAAACGGTCAGTTTCCGCAAAACCTAGCAAGAACTATATGATTGGTCCATCTTTAAATGTAGCTAATAAAATCATAAAACAAATCGGCCAAATCAAAGTACAATTCAATATCATAAACAACCATATGATTCGGCCCAAGTGGTTAATGAGTTTCTGTCAAAGACGAATAGTTCGGGAGAACCCAAGTTCGAATCCTCGCTTGAACAATTCAATATCATAAACAGCTATATGGCAAGTAAGAATTCTAATTCTAATGTCAAATAATTCAAAAGGAGAACATAAATATCATGCCAAATGCGATCCATAGACTTAAAAGAGTGTACATGACAGGAAATTACCATCCTCCCATCGATGTTGTGCTTCTCCTGGATAACAATCTCTGCAACAGCCGGATCAATGAAAACAACAAAACCAAATCCACGAGCTCTACCAGTTGTCCGATCCTTCATGATCACGGCTTCCTTAACCTCCCCATAAGTACTAAAATACTCCCTGAGTCGCTCTTCGTTGGTGTCCCACGATATTCCACCGATAAATAACTTGCCACTATCTGATTGCATTTTATCTACACACAAATCAAAAGAAACACTTCAATCATCCAACGAGCTAAGAAAAAACACAAATGCAAGTAGCATCAGAATTCAAGCCTATAAACCATCAATCAACAAATCAAATTTCTATCCGATCCAATCAAATTCCTTACACACACCTATAGCCAATATCAAATTTCAAAAAACCAAAACTTGTAGAATTACCATTCATCAAACGGTTTAACTACAATAGAATACCTTTGATTATGACAAACTCAGAAACGGTAATAAGATGCAATAATAGATATTGTCGGATTCAATTAAGCAGAATCAGATCCTTGATAAACAACCAACAATGAATCCAATGAATCCAAGCAAGAACAAAACAATCCTGAAAAAAAATAGTCCAATAATCAGAGATAGATAGATAGATCCAGCAAAGCAAAGGAATATGCAATTGAAGAAAGATCAAAACTTGAATCTGGATTTGAAAGAAACCCACCGATTGAAGACGACCCAGATAAGAAAATCTTAAGATCTGAGGGGAGGCACAATGAGATTAAGAACAGAGGGTAGGTTCATTATCTGGGTATGCCTCCCCACCCTTTTCTTCTTCTTTTTTCCAATTGTTAATTAAGATTATGAATAAAATGCAAATTCAAGTTATCAAATCGATTGAAAAATAAAATATAAATGTTGGTTATGTACAAAAAGCAAAACTATCAAGAGGTAGAGAGAGATAGGAGAAAACTCATCCCAATGTTTTATAGGAAGAGAGAGAGAAAGAAACTGCGAGATGAGAGGTGAATGATTTTATAGTGAACATCATATCATTTTCTTTTCTACTAAAATATATAATTTTTAAGACAAGAAAAAAATATTTACACATTATTATTCTTTTGATAAAAAAATTTAATACAAGAAAATATTTTGTTTGCAAGTGATGTTTTTTTTTCACACATAATTTTTAATATTGGTTTTCCTAGATTATGTTCAATGTATTTATTTGTGTAATATTATATTATATTTTATACAAATAAAAAGTTGTTATTTTAAGAAATGGTTTTTTTAATTATTTTATATATAGAAAATGAGTTGGATCGATTCTTCATATGTTTATTTGAACGTATGGCGTGTTGATCTAAGTAACACTGAGATTTTAAATTTTCGTTATATTTATTGGAATAACGGAATTAGAGAATTTAATGTGAAATTTTTTAAATATGAATAATTAAAAGTAGATGAAATTAAAAAAAAATTATTTGAAGAGTATAAATTTTTTTTACATAAATTGTGGTCTTGGTAAAGCAACTTGTTTATATGTCATGGGTCTTATTATCCTATGGATTTGGTGATAAGACTTCTTCAACTTGTTTTAAGAATTGATAAATCTTGAATGAAGTGACTAAAATTGAGAGAGGTTTTTCTTAAAAGAAAATGTAAGGGTTTAAGGGAGGAATGAGATGCTCAAAAAGTGGTCCATATATAAGATTCAACTACATAAGAAAGAATTTCCATGTGATGCTCTTATTTCCAAAAATATTTATTAAGTAAACAATATAGAAAATAGATAATATTGTTTTTCAAGTATAATCTTGTGCATAAAAAAACATCATGTTACAACTAAAGTATATAATAAATTTTATAAAGCTAAAAAAAAGTATGGTTGAGAATGTAATAAGTGTGAATAATATGAATAATCGTTTTATATTATTTGAAAATATGAAAACTTGAGCATTTATAAGTGAGAGAACTCACTCACCTATCACCTTAAGGTTTTTGGTGAATATGTGGTGTCTCTCACAAAGGTGTTGCTCTAAAAATAAAGTCTTACAATGTTCAATGTTCCTTAGTAAAAAAAACTCCCCCAACACATAGTATTAGAGCCTAGTTCGAGAAAGGGACCACTTTACTTGTATCGAAAGTCAACGGCGCCACAAGGATGGTGAGTAAGAAGCGTTATGTTGAAGAGTATCAACGACTCCACAAGGGTGGTGAATAAAAAACGTTCCATGCGGTACAAGAGTTTGTGAAAATAAGAAGAGTTTTCACTTGAGGGGGGAGCATTGTGGACTAACACTTAAGAGGAAGTGTTAAGAATGTAACAAGTGTGAGTAGTACGGGTAATAGTTCCACATTAGCTCGAAATGCGAAGATTTGAGCATTTATAAGTGAGAGAACTCATCCACCTATCACCTTAAGATTTTGGGTGAATATGTGGTGTGTCTCTGACAAAGGTGTTGCTCTATAAATAAAGTCTCACGATGTTCAATGCTCCTTAGTAAGAAACTCCCCCAACACAAAACACCATAATTCATATTGTTCAAAAACTAGAATATTTTTTAAGTAACATAAATAATAGTATGACATGTTTGTTGCTATGCCAAATTTATATAATCTCACGGTAGCTCAATAAAGTCTAACAAGCTAATTAAGAAAATCAATAATATTAGTTCGATACATAAACATCTATTATGCCCTCATGAATGAAGAGACCAACGCCAATTCTTAACACCCTAATGATAATCATTTGTACATGAACACCAAACACAAAGAGCATGTAATTATCCCAAAAGAGAAAATTATGTAAGCAAATAAGGACATCTTATAACAACAAGGGCACGTGGACAGCGATTGGAAGAAAGGTGTACATCAAAGAGTGAAGAATGCATACTTAAGGAAAGAAAGGAATAAAAAGAAGGTATTGAATATGTAACTAAAAGTTCCCTGTTTGATCATGCTTTTTCTCATTTCCTTTTATCATTTTTGTACCCTTCAATTTCTCTTCCATGTTATCTTGTTCTTATAGAATTTCCTCATTTTGAATTCTTCGATACAATCAATTTTTAGTGAGAAATTAAATATTATATTATGTGTTTATTAGTTGTCTTAATGGATTATTGAATCCATTACATTGGTGTTTTCATCTTTGATCTCCCACCCACTTAATCACTTTCAAAGATGGTGGCGATTCTCGTTTTTTAGCATGAAATAAATGCATATTGGTGGGTGTTTTGCACAAAAATATATTTTAAAAGATGGTGCGCACCAGAAGATGATAAAATAGTAGTGGTTGTCATTGCCATTAGATGGTATTTTCCCACACGGTGGTTAGCTAATTTTTAATGTTATAACAATAGTGATGAATAGTGCAATACCCTAGTTTTCATCTGAACAATTTGAGACACTGTGATATATTATTAGAGTTTGACATAACACAACCTTACAAAACCGGTTGGTAAGGCGAGGGGTGACACTCTATATAAACTATTTCAATGCTCTATCTCCAACCAATGTGGGACTTTAGGATCTTCCTAATACACCCCGTCACGCCCAACACTCTTTTTGGGCTTGGTGCGTGGATTTAAACGGTGGGCTGCCCAAGGTCCGATCGATAGGCTCTGATACCATATTAGAGTTTGACATAACACAACCTTGCAGAAATATACTTTATATTTCCTTGTATTTTATGAGAATTACATAGCAGTATTTATAGAATACATAAGGCAGAATTTGGAAGGGAAATCTGTCCTAGAAATCAGGGGAGTTAATTTTCCCATAAATGTTAATTCTAATTACAGTAAAAACAGGAAATAATAACTAATTAATTACATTAGTCCTAATCCTAATGAGCTGTACAAACAAAATCATTTGATTCTGTATTGATTATTCCACACTCCCCCTCAATCTGGGTGGTAGATGTCTATCATACCCAGATTGGATATGATATTCTCGTATATGTTCCTTGGAAGGGCTTTTGTTAGAATATCTGCAGTTTGCTGGCATGATGGAATATGGTTAACACTTATAATTCCATGATCAATTCTCTCCTTGATGAAGTGTCGGTCTATCTCTACATGCTTTGTTCTATCATGCTGAACTGGGTTCTTCGCAATGCTTATAGCAGCCTTGTTATCACATAATATCTTCATAGGATGTTTGGTAGGAATTTTGATTTCACCTAGCATTTGCTTAAGCCAAATTCCTTCACAAATACCTTGTGACATAGCTCTGGATTCTGCTTCTGCGCTACTCCTAGCCACAACAGACTGTTTCTTGCTTCTCCAAGTTACCATATTACCCATACAAATATGCAGTAGCCTGTAGTCGATTTCCTGTCAGATAATCATCCTGCCCAATCTGAATTAGTGTAGACTTCAATACCTCTGTTTGAGTTCTTTTGAAAATAGAGTCCTCGACCTAGCGTACCTTTTAGGTACTGGAGAATTCTGTTAACATTTCTCATGTTAGTTTCAGTTGGATTTGACATATAACGACTAGCCATGCTTACAGCAAAACCAATGTCTGGTCTGGTGTGAGTTAGATAGATTAGTTTTCCAACTAGACTTTAGTATCTATCTTTATTAGCTGGTATATTCTCATCTTCACTTCTTTTTATTTGTTCTATGGGAGTATTGGCAGCTTTGCATCCAAGCATACCTGTTTCTTGAAGTAAATCCAAAGTGTACTTCCTTTGAGAAACTGAAATACCATTCTTTGTCCGTGCAATTTCCATCCCTAGAAAATACTTGAGTTGTCCTAAGTCTTTGACTTCAAATTCTTTGGCTAGAAGTTTCTTTAACTGGTTGACTTGTTCATCATTATCTCCCGTAATTACGATATCATCAACATAGACAATAAACAAAGCTATCTTCCCATCCAAAGAGTGCTTGACAAACATAGTATGGTCTGTTTGACATTGAACAAAACCATCTTGCCTGACAACTTTTGTTAGTCTGTCAAACCATGCCCTTGGTGATTGTTTGAGGTCATATAGAGATTTTCGAAGTCGACACACCATGTTGGAGGTCCCGGGTGATTCAAGTCCTAGAGGAATTTTCATATATACCTCTTCTTCTAACTCACCATTTAGAAATGCATTCTTTATGTCTAGTTGGTACAGGGGCCAATCTAGATTTGCTGCCAGAGATAGTAGAACCCGAACAGAATTGAGCTTCGCAACAGGTGCAAAAGTCTCCTCATAATCCACCCCATATGATTGTGTGAACCCCTTAGCAACCAACCGAGCT